TATCCTCATCCTCGACCTTGCGAGGACGGCGAAACGAAACAAACACACTAACAACGTGGCGGCGCCTGCTCTGACCGACCGCGGCCTGCTCCCGACGGTCGTCGTTGTCGTCACCAATATCGTTCCCCTCATCATCACTCACCATCGCACTCGTACCCCTTCCGTCCACCCCCAGTTTCCTCATCACCCTTCCCTGCTACTCCGCAGCGGCAACGCACGCACAAGCACAAGCACAAACACAAGCACAAGCACAAGCACAAGCACAAGCACAATCACACACAAATGCTACATGCACAACCAGAATAATAAACACCAACACCAACACCAACACAAACACCACAAACACAAACACATCACACAAACACAAACACATACATAAACACCATCACGCACCACAAAACACAACAACAACAACAAAGACAACGAAAACGACAAAGACAAAAACAACGGCAAAGACAACGGCAAACACAACGACAGCGGCACAGACAAAGACAAACACAACACACACAGACACACACAAACACGCACATAACGGAGTGTGCGCTGGCCTCTATCTCGGTGGCCAGAACGTAAAACAGACCAAACAAGAATCCGAACATTATCGGCATCTCCATCACCGGCTCCGTCCGTGCTCTCCGCCTCCCAGTCCTGCGCGCAGCGCCTCCAGCAATAGGCACTCCCATACGCCCATTTCCCTCCAAATCCCTCCCCTGCCCCACTCGTCGCGTACGCGCCTTCCAGCCAACCCAACCCCCGCCAATCTCCTCTGTCTGCTCGTCCCCACCATCATCGCTGATCATCGCCTCTCAGGGGGAAGCCGTCCTCGTGATGCAAATGGGCTCCGTCGCGAGCTTCCTCGGCACGCGCCAGGGCATCACGGAACGCAGTTTCGCCCCTTCTTTGCGCATCGTTGTCCAAGTATCCCCGTGGATCATCCTCCTGATGCTGTTCCCCCTTCTCGTCCGCCTCCTCGAAGAAATTTGGTGAAACGTATGTGTGGTTTTGTATGGGGCAGGGGGTGGCGGGGATGCTGAAAAGGGGATTGGGCAGGCGGGGGCGGCGCGAAGACGAGGGCGGCGACAGAGAGGGCGAACCTGTCAGGGTGCTATGGGTCTTCAGGATGACGGGATCAGGGGGGGGGGGCGGGGGGGAAAGGCCACATGTGGGAACAGCTATGGGGGGGGGGCGGGCGGCGGGGTTGGGAGAGAGAGGGGGCGATGCGGATAAATACAGCAAAACGCAATGTTCGACAGCGAGGTTGCAGGCTAATTTCGTCCATATCGCGTTGTCATCGTCGTCGGCCCGCCGCCATCCTCGGGGGGATGTCGGAGGGGGGCAGATGAAGAAAGGGGCGACGACAAACACCAATCGATAACAACGAGAAACAACGCGGATGAATACGGACATGAATGCAATAACGCGGACAGCGACGGAGGTGGGCGTGTCGACGGTCATGGGCAGACGCAGCAATCCTAGTACTCAGATGAACTGGTGGCAGCGGGATCCGCAAAGAGAAACACTTGGACGATCAAGACGATGACGGGTATGGCCCAGTTCAGGGGCAGGATGACCCAGGTGGTGAGTCGTCGCTGGTGTCTCGGAAGGCCGGAGGGCGTCTGAGAAGCCTCGCCGCCTTCTGAGAAGGCCTTCTCCTTCCCACTTCCCGCCCTCGCTCGCCACCGCCTCTCCCGGGGTGCGTTCTGACCAGGATTTCGAGGCGAATCCAGCGGTGGCGACGAGGGCCTCCGAGGAGGCCCGAAACGGGGAGAAAGGGGGAAGGGTAGCGGTATGATTAGTGAATGTTTTTTAGTCGGCGTTTCGACATTGAGCGGAAATGGGGGGAGGGGGAAGTCTGGCTCTAGACCTCTGCTTGGCGCGCGACTGTTTGGAAGAAAGCGGCCTCTGGGGGAGACTCCACCAGCTCGAAACAGGCGCCAAAAAACAGCCAAGATCTACTCGAAAGGGGGGGAGGGGGGGGAGGGGTTGGGGGCCCGCGCCGATCGGCGAAGCAGTTCATAGAACACAATCTTTTTATACATAAAAATTAACATAACGTCGTAAAACAGGGCTAGGATCGGGATAAATCGCTCCAGAGCGTTCCGGAGCGCTCTCAGAGCGTTCCGGAACGCTCTGGAGCGGCCGCGGCGCCCAATACATCCTACAAACCCGCCGATTCTCAGAGATTTCGAGTTATCCCGATCCGATTTTGTCCCGATCTTCGCGTCGTTTTATGCCGCCGTGGCCCCGTGCCGCCGGGGCCACACGCCGCCAAAAAGCGGCCCAACATCCGGCCCCGCCGCCCCGGCCAAAAGCCAGGGGGTGGCCAGACGATCACTTCGGGGATGGACAGACCCCCTTTAGTAAAACGTGGTTTAGTGAAAACGAGCTGAGGCCCAAACCTGGCGGGCGCAAGCCTGGCAAATAACGGCCACGGCGCCCTCTCGAGGACCGAAAACGGACAATTCACTAATCGACGTGTCACTGTTGGGGTTTCTGTCCA